ATTTTTTAACCAGTTCGCATACATATACAGGGTGACTGGTGAATTACTATCAATATTTAAGGAGGATACTCGGTACATGATTCTCATTCGAATTATGTAAAAAAAATAGGTACTTAATTTTTGACAAAATTTCCGTATAAATAAATAAAGTGTTGACACGTTCCAAGTGTTCCAAGTGTGGACGCGTGCGGCGGCGTGCTGATACAACACAACGCCGCCGCACTCGTATGTGTGAGTGTGTGTGTATACCTAATCTGTAGGGTGTTCATACGATGCGTAATTAATTACATAACTTTTGGTTAACTTTACTTAAAAGTTTATTAATATTTATGTTATATTAATTTTTATTTTGTCATATATGATCGTCACAAATCACGTCCTCAAATATCGATAGTAATTCACCAGTCACCCTGTATAAATGTGAACATATTCTAACATTTCCTTTAAATTGGAAATAGAGTTAAGTAACTGGATACATTTTAAAACATTATTCATAACGCGAATATTTTTTTAAACTACTGTAAAATTCGATACCTATTTTTTCTATTGAAACATATATTATTACTTTAACCTTAATTTCTGTGATAAGTAATTAAAAAAAAATCTGAATAAATAAATAATTTAAAAACTAAAAACCAGACTTCATCATAAACAAACTAACGAGATACAAATTTGGTCAAACAGAATTAGCAAACAGAAGTACTTGTTCATAAATAGAGCAAGAAAAATATTATATCTGTGGCAGTTATATTAGTATAGTGAGAAAACTTAGTTTATTATAAGTTTTATTTTAATATTTGTTTATTTCATTTTAATATCCGAGTAAAACGTTGCTCTATATTCTTATATATAGTAAAGTAGTAAATTTTAAAATACTTATCTTTAGATCTTTAAGTGTAATCAATATAAGAAATCCACTATTTAATTAAAATGTTACATATTAAAAACTCTATTTTATGCACACAATATTTTGTTATAGATTTTATTTGTATTGAAGTAACATATATTTTTCACAGAATTTTTTTTTATACGAAGAGAATGTTCATTGGTTAGATAATAATTCATTCTATAAAATAGGAAGTAAAAAATAATATTTTGTGATTAAAAATTATTGTTTGTGAATGTCTATTAACTACTTTTCCAATAACCTACTTTTAAATTGATTGACTTGAAAGGTTAATTTACTCATGACGTGTTGACGTCAAAATGATGATAGATAGTCATTCTCATCTCGTTTTCCAGTAAACACAATTAGTGAAAAGTACCTGCAGGAAACGAATGACTTTAATTAAAAGTGATACGGTAGAGGATGTCCTGTCTGCAGCTACGATTTACTGAGAAATATTAGTAGGTAAATGATATTAAAAAAAAATAAAATAGGAAGACATCACAGTAAGTTTCTTATTATCTATTACCAAGAATATGAACTCAACATGAACTAAAATACTTATTTTCAAGTTTAGTTCAGATATTTTATGACAAAACTAGCTATTAGACTAACTATTATACTTACAAAAGTATTCACTTATGAATTAATGTAATTTGTTAGGGTAAAATTTTGCAACTTAATTTTGAAACAAATGTCTTCAGCTTTTTCAGCAGAGATTTTGTATACAAATTTAGTTTGAATGACAGTGCATGATTAAATTTGTGAAATGTTTCTTAAGGAAACATAACGGCATATCCAAGATGGCTCATTAATTATCTTTAATATAATTCTCCAATTTGGATATAAAATAAAAGAGCTTGTAAGGATTAACTCAGAAAACGTGTTCAGTGTTAACTAAAAATAGAAAATAAATTAATAGTGAAAAACCTTTTAAGAGAAGCTTTTATTCAAAAACACTAAAACAAAAAAAAGTATGTCAGATAAAGTAAACAAATTGATTTGATTGTCCATATGTTAAAATAACAAATTCTTTAAATAAAAATAATCACACAAATTACAAACACATAATTTAGAAAATGTAAATCCGTGTATTTAATAGGTGTAGAATGTTATCAAACATATTATCAAAACAATTTCTATTTTTACTTTATCTTTCAACGAAAATTCAGTTATTTAAAATAAAGTGTATAAATTTACTGAACTGGATTTAAATCATGAAATGAATACAAGGGTTTAGAAATCAATAATTAAGTTGTATACACCACTTTAGTGGGGTGCAAAGGTTTTGTCACAATAATTGAAGGTTTTAAAGATAACATTTATAAATAAAAAAATGACAAAATTATGAGAAAACTTTCACAAAATTATACCGTCAAAAAGTTCTATGAATCGCAAGCCCTACCATACCTAATATGTATGTTGTAGTGTAGAATGACATTCGAATTTATATCAGGAACTAGATTGAAAACGTTTGATTTTTATTATTTTTTTGAGGAGGGTGTAGATAGAATTATTAAGACAACCCTTCTTTGCAATTTATTTATACTTAAAATGATTATTTAAAAATATTAAAACTTTTTACAGAGATAAGTAAATAAAATAATATTTATATGCCTTCGAATTATTTTGATACGTGTAATCGTATAATATCTAAAATATTAACTTAATAAAATAGACGTCGAAAACCATACCGATTGTTGAGCTTGTATTAATTATGAAATAATCTCACTAACTTGCTCACTTCCTAATAGACATCAGATAACGAACACAAAGATGTTTCTTTGAATTATTTTTGGGCTGTCTGAAAATAGAAATGTATAAAAATTGTAATATAGAATAAGAAGACGTTGACTTAATATTTTCCTCGCTCCTTCTAACATATAGGTCAAGACAAGTAATTGATGTTATTTTCTATTACTGTTTTCGGAATGAATCTTAAAAGTTCCAAGCCAATATAAAATATTACAAATTATTAAAACAAATTATTACGATTGTATACAATACTATCGTAGGTGGTGGAGCCTAGCTGTGGTCAAGAACGACAGCTCAAAAATAAACTGGCTCTACCGGGGAAGTGCCATTTTCTCGTAAAAGATCGGCCTGAAGTAGTCTATAATAGTTTCGTTTCGTATGATGACAATGGTTGGCCTTTCTTATTTGATACTACTTCAGGAAGTAGAAGGAAGAGGAGGAAAAAGGAGAAGAAGGAGTAGGAAAAGGAAGCAGGCCATTTTCCTTTTCCTATTCTTTCTTCTTCTTTTTCCACAATCAAGGCCGACAAGGCATATGCAATATTCACGAATGCACATGTCTATGGGCGACGGTAACTACCTTCCATCGGGTAGGCCATCTAATGGTTCGGTGCCTTTTAAATAAAATTTAGGAACAATAGGATTATTTTTTTACGTTAAAGGAGCCAACCGAGCAGACGGCCTCCCTGTTAGAGGTGGTACCGTCGCCCATGGACATCCGCGACATAAGACATGTCGCGGATGTGTCACAACCCTTGATTTGGGAAGAGGGGGAGGAAAAATGACAAGGGGAGGAAAAAGGGAAGGGTAGGAAAGGATGGGAAAAAGGGAAGGGCAACCAGCTCTTTCACTCATCGAACGAAACGCAGCCACTAAGGCTACTTCAAGCCGATCTTCTGTGAGAGGGTGGTACTTCCCCGGTCGAACCAGCCCATGTTCGAGCTACAATCACTTGACCACAGCTAGGCTCTACCACCATAAAAACTTCTTTTAAGTTTTGTATGTAAAATAAATCTGTTAGCGCAATATAAGGTAAATATCTATAAATAAGAGAAATATTTGTTAATCAAGAAATTCTTTGCTTTCTAGTAGTTAAATAAATGTATAAGCACGCCAAACAAAGAGACTACCTACGCTGAAGCTGTGAGATTAGTTCTTTGTAAATATAATACGATCACACTACAATGAGCACCAAAATAATTAAAATTTTATTAAACATTGCCTTATAGGAAAACATTATTAAACCCTAGCATATATTATAGGTTATATAATAGGATGAAAGATAATAGGACAAAACCGTAAATTCTAATTAGTTATTTTAATTTTGACCTGTTTGATCTTATTTACAATTCACATTTTAATAATAAAGCAACAATAAAACTTTTTTACAGAAACTCAACTGAGCGCCAAAAAAAGATTCCGAAAATATGTACCAACTCTAACAGCTATTTATCCCTTTCTTTTTCCCTTTCTTTTCTTTTGTTGTATTTTCATAGTTCATATTACTTATATTAATGTATTGAAAATAAAATCCACCATATATATTTATATCTGTTAAAATCGAAATAAGAATTTAATAGTCTCCTATTCTCTATTTTGCAATTATGCCTTAAACTTATGCGGAAACAAAAAATTTATGGACTTTATTCTCAACCGAAAGTCTCAAACTGCCATCTGTAATAAAAGTTACAAAAAGAGGAACAATAATTTGTATAAAAAATTACATATTAATAAATCCATATTTTTACTTAAAACCTAACCGAATATATTTCTTTTAAAAACAGTTGTAATGCTTAATAAAAATTATAAGCTTTTGGGGTTGACGTAAATATGTAAAAAGCAATGTATTACCAAGGGAAATCTTTTTAGATTTCTGTAAGTAGTAATTTATACTTTAGTTGAATATATTCAGGTTCTGATTACAAAAGAAAAACATTTTTTATTTAATAATATAAAAAAGAAAGTTAAGTTGGATACCGTTTTAAGGGACCATTTGTCATCCTTGACAACGGTTAGATATTGTTTCTACTGTTCTTTCATACGAGAAGCGGCAAGGATTCCCGTCACTAGTGATTACCGAGGACGTCTTTTTTTTAAAATTCATGAAGTTGCTTCGGCTGTAGACATCTTGGGGGTCCCCCCACAGTGTTGACTTCCACGTAGTGACCCCTGGGCAAGGTCGCGCCTGACCACCCTAACGGAGTGGCAGGCCGGCGGCAAACGAACACTGTGCTTCGAAGCTTTAAAATTGTCTGTGCTTCGAAATTAAAGGAATCCCATCCCACTTGGTGAGCGGTAACGCAGTGGCCAGTGGTTGGTGATCCTTCGCGATTATTGACTGTGGTCTGTGTTTGGAGAACATGAGTTCCAAGCAACCGAGGGCCGTCTCCAGACGGCGCCTCCCAAAAGGCCCTTCTCAGGGCCAACCCAAAGGCCCTTCTCAGGGCCATTCACGGGACGCTTCAGCGTCTGAAGCTAGCCACGCACAGTCGGCGGCAAGCATTCATTGTGTGGACCAAGCGACGGACTACTCTGACACCGAGTCCATCATGAGCGTGTCGGATTGTGGTTCGATCCGCCGTGAGTCCAGGAAGCGATTCCTGCGACAGTAGTCCACCTGTACAATGGCCCGTTTTGCGGGCCATTGTACAGGTGGATCTGGAGGAAAGGGTTGCCTCCAAGGAGAAGCTCGCGAAGACGACCAGAGCCAAGGCCGACTACGGCGCATCTACCGTCCGCTTTGCGGACCACTCCGTAGAGGAGATGGAGCGCATGGCTCTCGAGGACCAGGGGGAGATTTTTGAGGTCGCTTCCAAGTCCTTAAATCTAAAGGGGACCTTCCAAAAGGCTCTTAAATGTCAGGCAGCCAGCCTGCTCGGCATCGTAAAAGAGCTTTCGCAGCGCACTTCGTCCAACGAGACGCAGTTACTGCAGGCAAAAGTCGACCGCCTGCAGAAGGAGATGTCTGCGCAGCACGCTCGCATTGCCGAGCTTATGGCCCGGTCTGAAGGGACCTCGGAAGGTCCAGCGGTGGCGGCAGCGCCCCCCCCCCCCCTCCAACCTTGAGGACATCATCCGAAAGGTGGTCATGGAGGAGAGGGCCTTCACAAAAGCCTGATTTGCAGGCATTGAGGTCCGGCTCCTGCCGGAAAAGAGGCTCCGCCCTCCACTCGGCAGGACCTCTACTGCATCGCCGCCCCAAGAAGCAGTGCCAGCGCAGAAGGAGCAGCCCAAGGCCACGAAGGAAGGCAAAAGGAAGGGGAAGGGAAAGAAATCCCCTTCGGCCCCTACCTACCAGGCGGGAGCCAGGGGCGGAAGGCGGCGCACACAGCGTCCACCTTCACCCGCCCCTGCGACGGACATAGATGGCCGTGCGCTCCGGCCACAACAGAGCCCTCCCCCACAAGGGGGGGGGCGTGAGGGGTCTGCCACAAGGCGGACAATCGCCGGCGGGGGGCTGGATGCAACCGGATTCCCAGACCCCTGTCAGTCTACCGGGAATCCTTTCCCGGGGAGTCCCACATACCCCTCTCCGTCCCCCGACGGGGAGGGGATGCGTAAAGCATTTTTTCCCAGTGCGCACAAAAAAAAAGGCTGTAGACATCTTGTATTGAACGGGGACGAACAAAAATTAAAAAGATCCCCCGACATATTCTTATGCACTGTTTATAAAGTTAAGACAAAATAAATTAAATAAATAATAACCACTAAGAACATGTAAGTATTTAGTTCACTGATATAATTAATTTCAGGAGGACTTAGTAAACTATATCATCACAAGGTCTTTTATAAATACTTAAATATATACGCCTGAATTTTAAATGACACTAAGCTTGAATCCATTTTTTTGCTTTATTTTTATTAATAGGCGCTTTTAAATATTTTCTATTGACTGATCTTGTATAATAAAAACAAGGTGCTTTGAAATTTGCTTTTCTAAAAACTTGTAAATTGTAATTTAATATATTACTCACATTATGTATGTATTACATTTATTTTTAATATCAATAAGAGATGGCGCATAGGAAAATATATTTAAAATTAGAACACTTGACACCAAATATCTGGCTACGTTATATATAGAAAAGTTTGCATGTGCGCCTGGAAGCGGTCACACGTATTCTTCCGCATAAACAAATACTTAAAGGTAAAATATTATTTAATTATCATAAAGTATAAGTCGTTTTTAAATAACGGTAATATTTATCGCTGGTAGGATAATCATTTAGTAAACTTGTTTGCATTAAAACTTCTTTCGTATACAGTTTTTCTAATTACAGTATCGTATCTAAGACCCGAAATATCTATTAAGACATTTATACTCTTTTAAATTTATTTTACATTAGATATCAATTAGCTCAGATTCATTTTTCGTTTCAATTGATTTTTTAATTGCTATTGTCATTTTTCATAAGAAAAATAAGAACGGAAAAGATATTATAGCAACTATATTTCTACCTCTTTAATTATAAAAATAAATATTATTTGTAGTATGTAATATTTTTTGGAGTTGATATATTATGGTGCAGAGGAAATTGTAATATAATGATTTATTATACCTAGATATTAAAATATATATTTCTTTATATCTATAGAATTATTTACTATAGATAAGATTTATTCTAAATTTTAATTTTACCGTTTCAAATAATAAAATAGACTTTAATAGATCTTAAAACATACAACATATTAAAGTTCAGAAATTATATCATTGAATAATTTAATACCTAAATAGTTAATATTACTAGTAAGGAAACGGGTATAAATACATGGTATTATCTTAATCAAAGGTAAGTTAAGGCTTTTATGAAATATATTCTAGAAGGTCAAAGGTAAGTGAAAATGAATAGAGAGCAGTTTATACTTGTTGATATTTAAGCTATATCTAGACTGAAATACAGTTCGTATTTAGTGATATACAAATGTGGCTATATTTATCTGCCCGAGGGTCGAATGTCTGATGCATGGTATTGGAGGGAGTTATTTGCATCGGCAGGCTTAACTGGTAAGTCAAGCGGATTATTACATTTCAGTTTAATACAAAGTGAAAATATAATTAAACAGAAATTACATCTTAAAATAAATATAATTATGTACATAGCATATTATTATTGTATAATAAGCTTTTATATAATTTCCATGATAATAACTTCCGGGAACTCATTATACTAACGTGTACATAAATTAAAATACTTGAATATGCTTGTTAAAATAAAGGATATTTTCATTTTCCTATATTTTATTTTTACAGACGTAGTCGTAAAATATTTTCATTTCATTAATTTTGAGAATAATTAGTGTACCACCCAGCAGTCCACGTTCTAATCGGCATATTCATCGCGAATTATACGTATATATCTTTTATTCCTTTGTAATAAACGTTTTTCATTTATGCTCCATTATTGAGTGGGGTTATTTAAAAAAATTATATCAAAGATTATACTCAGTGATAATTTCAATCTTTTTGTGTGTTAAAGATGGATCGAAACGGCGTCGACTCTTCATACGCTACCATGTGTAGTGATGTGACGCTATGTGCGAACAATAAGGGTTTTTTTAAGAACTTCGTAGAAGAAATGGTTTCATTGGCAGAAATTGATGGATGGTTGGATGACTTCGAACTTATTGAGGACAAGGAAAAAGTCCTAGCAGTAAGGAATAATGAAAAAGTATGTTAAGTTTGATTACAAGTTGTGTAATATATGATTAACAATAAGGTTATTTTTTCTTTTAAAAATAAATATTCAATATTTTTGTCTGAGCACACATAAAATTGGCTAAAAATTCATTTAAAATGAATCAATTTAAAACATTACAGATTATGGAACCTATCAATGAGTTACTATCTAGAATACAACCCTTATTCCGAGGTAAGGACGCCAGAGTATCGCATGAAAAGAAAACTGCAGCCCTCATAGCCTTAAAGAATGGAGATCTAGTTAAAAGCCTTTCTCTAGCCAACCAAGCCGTGCTTAGAGCTCCAATGACTGGTATCTTTTTCTTTACTAAGTATTAACATAATTTTATCTTTTGTATTTAAGAGATCTAATGAAGAAATTCATAACATTGATCTCTGTAAGCTAAACCGAAAATAAGGCTTAGTTAAAACGCAAATATTAAAATAGTTATTACTTCCTCCACCACCTCATTAAATAGTTTAAAGGTACAAGGACTTGAGAACCTTCAGATGAAGTTCCACAAAATTGTTTTAGTAATATTTCCTACACAATTGCGACGTATGTTTTTTTCTTCCTAATCCCAATAGTAAGGATTAGACTGTAATTACTAATTATAATCAAAACTTTACAATTAGTTGTTCTGCGGAAAGCTGTCTTCCAAAATAATTTTACATAACATAAAAAGTGGTATATTTTATATTTAAAAAAAATCAATTCTTCACATAGGAATATTTTTTTATTATCTTTCGTAAATATTTGTTATAAATCTCTAAGATTTTCGCGAATTTTATTCATTTAAATGTTATAAAGCTGACATTTTGAAATCAAAATGGATTTTTTATTATTCTGTTTTTTTTTTTTTTTTTAATTATATTTCCACAAAAAAACATATGAACACAGATTATTCAAAGTTTAACCTATTTTAAATTAAATGAACAATAATATACAGCCTACAGCTAGTCAACTGCCGTTATTTTTGGATTCAATATACATATATATATATATATATATGTGTGTGTGTGTGTGTGTGTGTGTGTGTGTGTGTGTGTATGTGTATTTGAGTATTATTATACATATATTGGGTATTATTATATAGTAATGGATACGATTACGAGAGTTTGAGGCTATCATTTCACCTTCAGATAAGGAAATACAGCTATATATAGTAAGGGCTTTATCTCACAATAAATCTATTACTCCTTTTCTTAAAAATCCGAAACTGGTAAATGGGAGGTAACGCAGACGTAAACAAACTGTTCGAATTATTTTCTGTGCACATGAGAAAAGTAGAATCGTATCGCTTTGTTCGTATGCGAGAATTTATGCAAGATTTGTATGAAAAACTAAATTCCAATATAAAAAGCGAAATTCTAAGTGGAAAAATTTTAATATATGTTATTTAAATATATTATTCATAGCAAATATAACATTATGATATAAATACTAGGATGTGCGGAAATAGCATCTCATATTAGCAACACTTCGCAATGATTGCCATTATTTTTTAGGCAATAATTCAGTATAAATAAGAATGATAGGCGGTCATGTTAAAACTAAAATTGTACAGGGGTTTGCCACGTTACATTTTAATCACGGACAATAACGCTGTCATAACATTGTTACTTGGCATGGAAGTTATTCAGTATTTTCAAATTTACTAAACAGAATTGATTAAATATTGGTATACACCAGTTTTTATAGTACCACTATCAGTGCATTTATTATTATGTTTTATTTATCACTTAAACATATTAATATATTAAACATGTTACTTTCAGGTACTGATGAAGTTATAGACAATGGTATAACACTCGCTCTAAGCCTCTGGGTTCGTTCGGAAGTGTTGTTAAGTCTAAACCGGCCGAAACCAGCTTTAGAAGACCTTAAGCTAGCTTTGAAAGAACGGCTTCCTGCTCGTATGAGGGCTGATTATTATTGGAGAATGGGCCACTGTTACAAAGGTATTCTAATTACGTTAAATAAATACAATTTATATTTACTTAACAAAAATAACAATTAAAATAATAATTAATGTAACACTCCTAAAAAGTAGTTTACAAATTTTTCAACAAATATCTTTTTTTGAGGGCTAGTACTTGAAAAGTATTTCCTTTCATACATAGATTTGCGTAGGACATTATCTACTGTTTTGAAATAATAAGGAGAAAATATTCCAAATAAATTAAAAAATACTTCAATGAACATGAAATACATAAACTATCTAATACAAATATATAATAGAAATATATAATTTAATAACGCCAATAACTCAAAGAATAGTTTAGAATAGAATTTAATAAATAACAAATACTTAAAACTCATAAACCTCTCTATAGATTAGTATATTAGTATCTACCATTTAAGAACCTTTGACCCGTTCCTGACATTGAAAGTTTAGGCTTTGTTAAGTAGTTCAGTCCCAAAAGACGTAAATGGGTTAAGGATTTATTATCTTCGGTTCCTTACCGTTTTGTCATATTTATAAACAAAAGCTTTCACACAGATTTAGTTTTGAATTAATGTTCAATATGTGGACATTTAAATGTAATTAAACTAACTACTTCTCTATTTTTTTTTATGTGAACGTAAATTGTGAAAAAATATATTGCTAAATATTTACTATTTTTTTTATTGCTAAATTATAGGTACTGGTGAAACAACCCGAGCTAAGGTTTCATATGAATTAGCTAGCCGGTTATTGGGAGATAAAAAAGAAGCAAAAATTCAACTGACTAATGATATCGAATCATTAAATCACTCTACACAATCCGAACGTCCTTCCAAAATAAAAGGTATAGTTAACATTGTCTGACACCAACTTAAGTATATCTCAAAATCGTAAATAGAAACAAAAGTAACTGAAATGCCGACATACTATAAATCAAAATTGAAGAATCAAAATTGAAGAACTGACTTGATCAACGTAAATCATATAAAAAATTAACGTGATGAAATTATTCTATTTATCATACTTTTCTCTTAGTTTCACACTATTATTACAAAATTATTAAAAAAAATATATTTACGTTATTTCAAGAGTTAGTCTTATGAACCTGTTTCATTTGTGTCTTACAACTCCTTTAGCGAATTCGTTAGAAGTTATAAAATAGATAATACGATATAATTCTATAGTAATACATATTTTAATATTACTCCTATATCATTAAATAAACACAATCGCCTCATTATTGTTCCCAATTAATATGTAGGAGTAAACGCGAATACGGTAGGGAAGCAGTAAATGGAAAATTAATAAAGAATGAAGCAATCAGTATTGGTGAATTCAATTTAATATCTTAATTAAGGCTTTCACACGTGCTAAAATACCATTTTAATTATTTCAGAACCTCAAGTCACTTGCGGTGCAGCGTTAAACTTACCAGCTATTTCAAAATTAGTAAAAATTACTGAAGATAACGATAAGGTACTGTATTTTTCAATTTTTTTTATTTTAATTCAAATAGTTTTAAGCTGTTTTTAGCTTCTCAAACTAATAAAAACCATAAACCACTATCTATGTATTTAAACGCATATCTTATAATTTTTTTAATGTGACAGTTATGAAAATATGTCAAAAAATTTAAAAAAAACGACTAATACTAACAGCTATGTACCTAATTCAATAATTTCTTTATTGGTAAAGTCATACATTCAAGTAGCTCCAGACTTCCAGTCGTAGTAGTATTTTGGTACGATAAAAGTGCAGTACACTAGCGTAAATTCATTTCTGATGTGAAAATTTTTTTTATATAGTGAACTAATTAATAAAATTTCAATTTATTTTTTAAACGTGTTAATTTTACACTAATACTATAAAGCAACAATTATAATTTTTATTACATTTTTAAAATATAAAATAAGAAAACAATATAAAAAACATTTACTATTAAAATGAAAAAACAAACCTTATAAAAACAATACAGTTTAAGATATTTACAATATTTATACTTCGCCTTTTTATTTACTTGATGACCCTTGTCAGACATAAGTTGGGAAAAATTCTCGGTTTACTGAGCCACTACTTTGAAACTTCAATCAGTTCATTCAAAGTTGTAGTTTTTTTTAAGTTAAATATTCATCAAGTTCCCTCGCTTTCTATTATTTTTGTCGTTTTATTTAATATTCAAAGCAAATTAAAAAATAACATGAACTTATTAATAAAAACAATTTTCTGTTATGAAGGCTTTTAAAAGATTAGTGATCACAGGTACAACTAAAATAAATTAATGCGGTCTCATACATATACATGATGTACAAACTACATACTTGTATGAAGGTATTTGTTCATGTTTATTCGAATGTAAATCTTAAATATTTATTTATATAAATTAATATTATATTTCTCTCTGTAAAGCAAGAACACCATCTGAATTATTAAAAGCAAGAAACATTTCATGTTATTGGTGTTATCTATTACCTCTCAAATAACAGTAAAAAAAATATTATGTCTTCCAACTACTTAAATCTCTACTTTGTAAAAAACTATAATTTCAATCCATTATAAAAACTAAAGCTAAAAACTATGATGCCAAAGTTTACCAATAAGTACAAAGGCACTACGTTAATAGAGAGCAACATTATAATCAACTTATACCGACTCTAGTGTGCAACTATTGGAACGAAGTTCCTGTCTGCGATTTGTGGTAAGAGTTGACTCAAACTAGAACATTGTTCCTGAATGTGGGAGTACTTGACAGGTCTATTATTTTAATATTATTAGAAAATTTACGAAGATTTCAAATGTTTGTTTCGAACTTCATTAGAGATCAAATTGAATCTTTTTAAAATTAAAATTTTAAGTAATTTTTCAATTAACATAACATATATGTATGTAAATGATATCCTATATTCTACAAAAGCTTAATGCCAAAGTTGAAATAATATCTAGATGGCATCTAAATAAACTCAGAGAAAAGGGTAATTAATTAGATAACATAATACGAACATACTACATTTTCTAAAATAGGCTGTACTATTTTATTAAAACATTTTCTAGAAAAATATAAAAGATATAATATAAATTTAGCCTCAGACACTACATTTTCTTTCATTTTACTAAGTTGTAATCTGTAATATGCATTTTCTGTTGCTACTTTCATGTTTCTCTAAAAGAACACAGACAGAGTTTTATCTTATTTCTATATTTGGCTTTGAAGAGAACTATGTATTTTCGCAATTATTTGTATTGCTTTAAAATTTTTATAAGATAGCTTTGGTCAATGCATTATTTTGTCTTAGCAACAACTTAATCATCGGCTTAAAAATAGAAAATTGCCTACTTAGAGGTTGTGTATTTTATTTATTTATCAAACAGAATCCACAAAACAATAATCACTCTGTTATCACGGCGTTACTTTATTTACGACTACCAAAGTGTCATTTATTTACATTATGTTGAACTATTCACCAGGGCCGTTACGCAGTTGCTAATGCTCCTGTAAAAACCGGTGACATAATTTTAGCTGAAAGTCCCTACGCTGCTTGTTTACTCGCTGATTGCCATGGCTCTCACTGCCTTCATTGCTTTGTAAGGTAATTCGAATTCTAGGCTTTGTTTATCATGAATAATATTTTTTGAATATTTTTATGTAATATTAATAATAAATTGGCTTTTGTTCCATTACTCTATAAAAGTAAAAATCTGTAATTCAACATAAAGTTTAACAGTTTCTAAAAAATACTGAATAGAAAAGCTCTTTTTACAATACAAATTATTTCTCTTTGTCATTTAATAGATTAGAAGATTTTGAAGACTCGGCTCCAATATGGTGTCCCAACTGCTCAGGAGTAGCATTTTGTTCGATACAATGTCGAGATGCTGCAATTTCTACATATCATTTATTCGAGTGCCCGTTTTTTAACCTCTTTATTGGTATATATATTGTTTATTCAAATAATATTTAACGTGTGATGGCATCAAGAACACATTTTTGATTTTGTATTATAAACATTCTTTAAGGTTCCGGAATGTCGATACTTAGTCACATTGCTCTCCGTATGGTAACCCAAGCCGGACTGGACACAAGTCTTTCAATACATTCAAAGTGTTTAAACAATGAAATTAAGACTATACAGAGTCCGGTATTAAACGATGTTGAAGGTGAAAAAAAAAAGTTTAAGATAAAAAGTAGAAAAGAAAGATTAAACAGAACAAGAAATGGTATGAACATTATCGAAAATAAAACTTCTGATATACAAGAAATTGAACCACAAATTAAGAATGAGACGAGTTACAATGAAAAGATAGAAATGGCAGCTGAGCAAATTTATTCACTGGTGGCTCATTCACGACAAAGGAAGGGAGCAGATTACCTAAAGCGTATAATTATGGGCATGTTTCTAACTGAATGTTTGAAGAAAACCGATTTTTTTAAAAATTGTGAGAAAGAAAATATAACAAAAGGTTGGTTTTTAAGAATTTAATTTCATCAGTTGAACAAAGAAGTGTAAATCAATAATACCGTTTTATTAATTAGATTAGTATTATGAAAATAAATTCGAGACTAACTTTTTAAAATACATTTTTGTATAAAAATACGTGAAATAACAAAATATTTGTAAGAAATAATGAGATGATATTTCTATTACAGCTGAAATATCAATTTGCGAATTGATAGTTCGTAACTTGCAATTATTACAATTTAATGCCCACGAGATCTATGAAACCGTGCGCGGAGAACACCAATTTAGAGGATCTAAACCAGTTTACATAGGCGTTGGAATTTATCCTACAGGAGCCTTATTTAATCACGAATGTTATCCCGCAGTGGCACGGTATGTATTTATTTTAAACCAGATCGTAAAATTTACATTTTACTACTATTGCATGTGTTATTCTATTATTTTCTTCGGATTCGGTGCTACTCGGCTTGAAGGTTTAGAGAAAATTGTGTATCATATTTTATTTAGATCTGTAAAATAACAAATGTTAATTTTTTTTTTATTTTTAAATAAAAAACCTACAAATTAATAACGTTACTACAATTGAGTACATACCTTCATACTTAATCGAAGATAAAATTCTCAAAAATCCAACACCGATTTAATATGTTTTTTATGTGTCTCAAATATATCAATAATTCATGAATTTTATTTTAAGAATAAAATAATTGGTTTTGGAAATTTAATGAAACTATGCTAAAACTGAACCATTTTATTTCTACACTACAACTTTTGACACTAAATTTGACTACTATAAGAATATCTATAACAGTAAAAAAATCCCATATATGTATGTATCTAACTCATTTTTTAAATATAAATTTTGCTTATAATATTTTACAGATATTTTAATGGTAAAAAAATGCTATACCGCGCGATACGACCTCTTGAATCAGGAGAGGTTGCCGCTGAGAACTATGGACCGCATTTCTTGATGCGCACGCTTAAGGAACGCCAAAGGATGCTGACGTGTCGATACTGGTTCAGATGTCAATGTATAGCCTGTGTTGAGGATTGGCCAACTCTCAAAGAAACTGAATCTAAATCACCAATATACTTGAGGTTTGATTCATATCGCAAAAGAGAAACTAACGACCTAACATATATTAGTCATTTTCAAATTACACTACGAAAGGAGAGGAAGTTCTCAATTCTACCATATTATTTTATATTTGGAATTGCGGATGATTTCGTACTAAAAGAACCAATTTCCATGATTATTCCTGTAGCGTGTAGACCATACCATCAAGGTCAACAAATATTACGAGCTCACTAACGAACGCACTCGAAATAGGTTCGTCGTGTATTTGTACGCGGTAGAGGTGGGAGCGAGAGGTATAACAGCGAAATCTCTCTACAACTTACTAAAGACTTAGGCTTGTCCAGAACTCACATTAATACATTCTTGGCACGTACATCGAAGGCAGTCCTAGGAGGTTCTTTTCAAATTTGGTTAGGTAGGGAGAGGAGCTTGGACAATGGAGGTGAGCGTATAACGCGCGTTAGACAACGGGAACCCTTAAATCTACACCTGGGTCGCAAGTCCCAGGCACTGTTGAAGCTCCTCTCCCTGCAATTCGATGGACCCGGCACCCGCACGGTGAATCCATTGAATACTAAGAGGTTTCGTCTCGTCTTGTCTTAAAATTTTGAACCAATTCTAGAATAAATTTCATTTAGAATTGTCTACATCTCATTTTTATAATGAAAAGAAATAGCCACCAAGAAATCGATTGTTGTTTATAAAATTTTTCACGACTGCTTTTTCAATTAAAAAACGTTCCCCTGAAATATTAATTCCAATTTCAGTAACGTTTTAATATTTCAGCATGATGAAATGATAAAAAATTCAGGCTTGCTTTATGGTCATTTCGAAATACATATTATAAAGTTTACTTAACGTATGTTTCAAAATTATTTAGTTATTTATTAAAACATACCGAAGTAGTCATAAATTTAAGATATTTGTTAACTACATACAAGCATTTATTAATTGTCTAAAGCTTAGTCTTGAAACACAGCTTTAACCAGAAATTTCAATAGTTATGATTATTTCTTAGCTTCATGAAATGAAATTATTTTAATATATATACGCCCTAATTATTTTTAGTAGGTAACAGTAAAATGGTTACAGTTAAATAGAACTCCATCATATCCCTTTTAAAAACGCTTTAAAATTCATGATTTCAAAAACATAGACGGTACTGACATTTTGAAAGCATGGCTAGCATAAAAAAGGTTCTTGGGCACAAATATAATTGGTTAAAATAGGAGTATTTTAAAAGATGTGCCTAATACATACTAATTTGTATTAAGCATATGCTTACAGCGTTATATTAACATATACTGTTAACTCAAATATCTTCTACTATGTTTCAAAAGGTCTGAATTTTCTCATTTCGTTACTATTAACCATATTCTCCAGATACTTGATTTGCACTTAAAAATAGAAATGGATTCCATACAAATCGCTGACAGCGCACACTGATTAAAGAATAAGGATTTTTTTTTGTCTCAAGAGACTTCTTGTTTGCTGTGAATCCGATTTAAATTTCTCAATTCTCTTTCTTCTGTTTTAACTATCACAGTTTAAGCGTTTGTCGAAAATAAAAGCAATCGGATGAGTACCTCGTGTCTTTTGAATCGGTGGTAATATTTAAGTACAGTTAAGGACGAAAAATCTATTTATATTTAAAAAAAAGTACAAAAAAAAATAAGATCACAAAAATAAAAATTACGGCTTAGTAACTAAATTTTCATAAATGTGTACCTACCGTTTAGCAGATTTCATTTAGCGTAAGCCCGGCACCTAAGGTTTTCGAAAGACAATCTCAGAGATTTTTTTTTTACAAATATTCTTGAATACCTTGGTAGATTTAATAAAGAAGGAAAACAAGTAGGCAACAGGAAAACCAAATGGTTTTTGTATGCACGGTGAATAAAAACTGTGCCATAAACTATACGTCATTGAAAAAATATACACTTATTGATAATAACTTTTACTTATTTCGTATTTAACACATATTCATGAAATTATAATATTGCACATTTATATTTCATTTAGATTTTAAATAGCATTTCACTTTCCAGGTGTCTCAATAAGAAGTGCAACGGAAAAATTAAAGTTATCAAAAATCCAACAAACTTGAAGTGTATGAAATGTTCTACAGCCTTTAATAAGACTTCTTTAAAAGAATGTTTAAACGAGGTTGACACAGTTCTCTCACAGTACGAGGTAACTTTGACTGAACCATTACTTAGATTATTTTTCTTGTAGGTATACGAAGCGTACTGAATTTTGAATTTGTGCATATTTTACAACTTTTTTCAGTGAAAATGTAGATATAATTATCGTCAACAAAAAGGTTGCCTAAAATGTTTTATAGAAAAAAATAATACTTTTAAACTTTTATTTAAAGAACTCTTTAGTATATAACTTTTATAAAAATAAAATATTTACATAGGAAGGTGCCAAGCTAATGGAACAGCAGCGGCCCCAAGATGCTATCGAAATATTCTCAAAAGCCATTGATTGCTTTTACGACTTTGCAATGCCTCCCCATCGAGAAACACATATAGCACAAGAATCGCTAAGGTCGTGTTATGCTACATTTGGAAACACCCATATTTTAAAAGAAAAATGATATCAACCCTTTTTAACAAGTTAATATTGTAATAAAAACTTTTTATCTCGTAAAAATTTTATTTAATGAATTCTAATGGTATACAATGAATATTAATAACTATATTCTGTTTTACATTACAAGGAGAATATTGTTATCAGAAGACGGAAAGATCAATGAATGATAACAGTGACCCTTTGTGACAAAAGGCGGCGATGATACTCAGTAACAAAACTCTTTTGTACTTCATAATTATAACAGATGGACATTAACTGACGATTGAGGATTAATCGAAAATTTTTAGCAATAAATTTATCAAAACAAAAGACTTAAATAAGAAAACTTTACAAGATATAAAATTGCGTAACTATATCTATCTTTATAGCTTTAAAACAAAATGTACTACGCTTTTAAGCACATCCCAAAAACCATTCTATTCCAAAGATTTTTAGTTGATAAGAATAAATTTTTACTAGGTACATAACTTAGATAATTTGGGTATATATTATATACATATATTAGACACATATCATCTTTGGACTATGGATTATCGAAAAAGGTTTTGCATGCACATTCCTGTTGATCCTCTCCATCGCCCTCACCATCCCCAGTACTAGATACAGTTCGCCTGAGAGTCTGAACCTGTGTCTGCAAACCAAGCACACGTAATTGCGCCTGTTCAAAGTTTTCATTCAACCTCTTTATCTGGCACTGCATACGACATTGCAACTGTAAAAAATAATAAACCAGTGTGTAAACCCTGATAACGATTATTTAGGCCTAATATTTAAGTTAATAATTAAATTGTAGATTTCTAGGCCAATTGATTATTATTCTTACTTCTTCCCTCTCTTTTTCTGCTGTTTTCACTTGTGCTCTCGTTGCAGCCAGCTGTCTTTCTAGTTCACCTATTGTAGTCTGCATGCATCTGAAAACAAGAAATAATTAAACTGTTTAAACGTTCGCTTAAAGCAATTTCCTTTCGCAAAATTGTATGTTCACCATAAGGTGAACACGTATGAACGTGTCTTAATTAGTTCCATTCATGCATGGTAAGTCAATATTAAACTCTGATAGACTTTAGTATACATCTAGCAGTGTAAATTACGTTTATAAATTAAATGTTAAAATAACATATTTATTAATAGTGAAATATACAAGTCATATTTGCTCATATTTACTTGCGCAAGGTCTCTGTACGTTCGTTGGCTCGTTGCAATGCTCTAGCTGCCTCGTCACGTGCTCGGTCCAATTCACCGCCAATCTGAGCGCACTCATGCATTTTCTCTTGGAGACGCTTTTCATTCGCCAGTACCGATTCTTCCATTCGTATTACGTTAGACCTGTGAAGTCATTTTAAAGTGCCATTTTTAATATGATTATTTCCTATGGGAAGACTTTTGACATTTATTATTTGTATTTAACATTTTAAAAATAATAAGAATTGTGATTTTTTTTGGATCATAAAATCAACATAACATAATAAGAAAAAAGTTTTTTATTTATTTATATATAATTATAAGTAAAACTTATTTTGAGATTCAGATAGGAGTCTATTTCTTTTTAACTTAAAAAAATACTGTTTAACGTATCAGACGAACTCACTTGTCGGTCCTAACTAAACATTTATGAACTTACCTTCTTTAACATATTTCTATAACTTCGCTAACATAAAACAAAAGCTTAAAACATTGTTATATCTTTTCAACCCTTATTTTAAAAACTAAAATTGTTCGCAGTTTTTTACTGACCTTGTACCATTAACTCAATTAAAATCATTTTATCGAAGTAAATATATAACTAAGTAATTTAATTAGAAAGCTTTTCTATTCCTTGTAGCTCGATAGTAAACCATTTTGGACTTTTTTTTTGGATAAGAGTAAAATCTATCAGGACATTAAAAAAAAATCTAGATAATTATTTATGGTTCTGTTTTAATCTCATCGCTTCCGAATAAATGTTAATATTTGGATAAAATGAAGTATATGTATTACAAATGTTAGGTAAAAGTTGTATGTTAACTCACTTGAGACGTTCAATTTCATTTTTAAGACTCATATTCATTTCAGTTAATTGTGCTATTCTTTGTTGCAACAGTGCCATTTGTTTTTCATCAGCACCACGTTCAGGACCCTTCTCTGGTGGTTTTAAACTATTGTGTAAAAGCACATGAACCTGTTCAAAAAAACAAAGATCAGACATACATAGCTCTAAAACAAATTGCTGCAGAGGCTATCTACCAAATATATGACTATACAAATTAAATATTATGTTTTTTATATTGGAACCTTTTCTCTTGCTGAATTTAACTCCCTGGCTAGTTGTTCAGCATTATGCTCTGCTATAGCTTGCGATTGTTGAGCATCTTTTAACTTCAACTGCGTTGCTTTCAATAAATCAGGGATTGGGGCCAGTTCTTGCAACTTTTCTTGAAATTTGAGCTGAGGATTGTGGAAAAAAATAAGATAAAGCCTGTAATAATAATGCAAATTTTTTTACTTAATATTTTTACCTTCACACGTTGAATCTCAAGATTTATTTGTTCACTTATTCTGGTGTTATCCATATCCATCATGTCCATCTGCCTTCGTTGTTCTTCAACTAGTTGTTGGGCTTGGAGATACTAAAAAGTTAAATTTTATAACCTTAAACTTAAAGATAATTATGAATAAAAATAAATTGGTCCATTTGAAGAATAAATACTCACCTTAACTCTGTAATCTTGCAACTGATTGTTCTGTTCCTTCATTAAAGTCCTAAGTTCATCAATTTCTTCCCTAGCTTCACGGTAACATTGCTTCAAGGCCCTCACATTAACTTCTTGCTCGAAGGCCTGTTCTTTTGTTCCCAACAACATATTCGTGTGGGTAGTGAGACCTTCAAATTTCATTTCTAGTTCACGAAGCTTATTTTGAACTTCGCGATGTTGACATCGTTCCTTCTCCAACTCTTCCTTTTTTTTAAGTAACTCTGTTCTCAGCAACGCGCACTATAGTTTTATAAAACGTGAAAATCTTATATGTAATTTTATTTTCTTATTTTATAGGTCAAAATATCTAATAATATGAATATTTATAGAACAATTAGACGAGTATTTACAATCCACTTAATCATAAAATAAGTTCAATCGCTATTATGATGTTTAAATAAAACGGGGTGCAATTTATTTTGGCGATTCTGAAATTATAAAGCGGTCATTTCGTTATTCACATTAATTGAATTTCAACAAATAGTTTATCATGTGACGATAACAATTGATATCAGGTTACAAATTATGTAGCGTTAAATACCTCAGTCACTTTAGTCTTAAAATTTTCTTCTGTTTGTCGTAATTGTATAGTAAGTTTCTGCACTTCCCTTTCGGCTGGCGTCTGTAAAATTTAATAATGTATTATATGGAAACCGACAGTGATGATGTATTTAAATAACGTGAAAGGTCCTACCGGAGGTGCGTTGGGGTTGCATGGTGCTGGACATGGCGGGCAGACTCCACACTGAAATTATTTTGTTCATATATGTATTAATAGATATTTGATTTCAAATATTCTAAAGTTTCTTTGAGTAAGACTGACTACCTATGAATAAAACGAAGTGTTCAGTTCCTGATTTTTGTTTTGTTGCATTTTATTTTACTCTTTTTTACTTTCTCAGAATCCCAATATTTAATTATGAGAAGTTCTTACTTAATTCTTAAATATATGTATTCTGAACTCAAATAAATATTAAATGTTATTAAATTAAGGTAAATAACTGAATTACCTATATGCTAAGTATCTAGGATGCTTTGAACTTTTATACAATTCTGAGTTCAAGAATTTCTTATTTCATAACAAAAGATTTTACTAATATACATAACAATAGAATGCCAGCAAACGGATTTCACACAACAAGAAAACCCTTTTATATACAGCGAGATATTTTAGTGAATCAAGAATCCTTTCTGTATACAAAAATTCGTGACAAGCACGTCGCAAATGTTTCCGTTTTAGATAATGAGACATGTCAGACAAAACCTACCCAGTGGTTAACTGATATTATTGTTATTAAATATATTATTAGAATACAACTAACGGCACTTCCTTTAGAATGTTGATCAAACGCTAATGTTAGTTTCTACGTCGGATCTCTTATAGGATAGTAATATGATATAATAAATATATATTATCAATTATAGTTGCGTCCTAACTTGAAAGTGGCAGTCAGTTCACGTATTCAAGCATTCAGTTCACGTAATTTTCACAGAGCTTTTAAGGCGATTTCAAAGACTTTTTAAAATAATTACTAAAACATCAATTTCATTGTTTTTGTACTCCGTCCAATAAAACCACAGATAAGTCCTTGATTATTGGACAGAAAGTAGAATTGTAGGTTTGAAATGACTTACTTTGAATTACCTGGCTATTTTTATGTTACAAAATCAGTAGAAAATTTTAAAGATAACTAATAAAAGTTAGACCTTAATAATTTTTGGCTATGATTTTGGTGCACTTGATTTAAGATACATAATTTATTCCATCAACTTTTACACTTCATATTTATTTAGGATTAATAATATTATTAAAGCAAAGTGAACCCGTGAGTTCAAATGTTAGGTTCAGCAAATCGATTAAATAAATTGTGAAACGAAGGTGATACACCTTTGAACAAATTGAGGTTCTGTATCCCTTTCAAAGTACAGCTAGGTGGATTTAGCAAAATTTTTGACATTACATATAAGAAATCATAAGCCTAATGACGAACATTCAAAATTATATTAGCAGAGAGTAACTGAAAGAATTAATTGTAATCCGATAATCCTATTATATTTTATATTTTATAACCACGCCTTGTTAAAGGTAAAGCTATGACTAATACTTCATGCATACGATATGAAGCTGGTTAATTTATTCTATTAAATTTTTAAATTAATATAATCCCAATGGTTACGGAATAGTAAAATCAACCAAAATCTTCAATTGTTTATAAATTAATAATTACCACAATTTGTTTAAATGCTGATTTACCTAATACTTCTGATAATAAATATTCGTATAATATCAACAGCATTATTAAGAGGGAAGGCTTTCATAATATGTACTTGTCATTTCACGACAGGATCTTAAATTATATGATAGCTCAATTTAAGCAACAAAGCATATCCACAATAGGCTTCTGAGAAGGATTTGATTTCTTTATATGTTTTATCTCCTAAGAACGAAAAATTTAACTAAGTACAATAAAATTCAAGGACAAAAATAGATGATTGGTGAAAAATTTATATTCATAAACACTTATTTAAGATTTAAAATCTAGTAAAATTAACAAACACTCTCATGAAACTTTCAAACTTTTATGTCCTAAATGCGATACTAAAGTATTTAGTTATTTAAAGTTCAATAATAATATTTTGATAAGATAAAAACTAAGTTCATAGTAAATATAGTTTTCTGATTTTTTGCTTATGTTACTTTCAACATGTGTAAAAGGATACTTACAGCTCTCGTCATAGGAGGAACCGGCGGCCCTCCACCCTGTGAACAAATACCTCCTGATAAATTATTTTGTAAAATAGTTGACGATATTAATAAGGAGGATAAAAAACAAACTTTTATCCCCATTATGCTAGTAATCGTATTTATAACTACATTTTACAAAATGAATTATGTAATTAAAAGTAAATGTAAATAATTTAAATAATATTAAGCTTCTATTTAGTTCAAAGTAACAGACACCGAGAGTCGGTTTTCAAACAACAAATTAATTAACTATTGTTCTATCAATCAGAAGTAAATTAAATACCGGTTGTTGAAAGCATGTATTCTGACCCCCGCCACCACGGCAAGCGCTACCAGCAGCCGCTTTAACGTCAGCCATTTCTACTCTTATATTACGTACTTCCAATTCCAAACCAACAAGTTGTTTTTCCTAAGAAACAAACATTTATGATATATTATAAAAAATAGTATATTTTTAATTTATTTTATTATAGTTACGAAAGAAATTCTTACAATATCAACCGTTGTATTATTGTAATTGTTTAATTTTATAAGCAGCTCTTCGGCGTCCTTTACCGGAATTCTTTCGTCTTCCTGTAAAATAGTAAAAAAAAATCTTTTCAAATGTGCTCCTCAAATGTATAACAAATATTTATTAATATATAACTAGGCGTCGAAAAATGTTTACGAAGGTCAAAGCAATATTTCCATATATTTATTTTAATTTCACCTGATTACATACATCTGAGTCTTGATCACATGAGATGTTCATTGAAGTAGCATCGCCCTGTTAGGAGGCAGAAAAAATATTTAAAAGTATTTACTTTTTTTCTTATTTTGCCTCACTAAGAATATATTTTTTTAATTGCTGATGTATAACAATTTACAAAAGACCGTTTCGGTTAAACTGAATTTGTACGGAAGAACTTGTACAATTTGAGATGTAGTAACATTGCGTCTAACGAGCAGTGGTGTAGGATTTACCTGTACGTTGATTAAAAGCTAAAATTCTATACACCCCTAAAAGGAAAATGTTACTTTTACTGTGACTAAAAATTTTGTAACTCGGATTTTAATTATTTCGTTCATTGAAATTATACACCGTAATAACATTTTCGCTACCAGTACAACGTTATGAAAGCTTAAGTTATTTTAATGAATACCTCTGGATTATTTCTATTTAATCTCTCATGAAGCATAGCATTCTCTTTGTTCATTAATTTTAGTTCGCCTTGAAGCCTTTTGATCTGAGCTCGACAAGTCTCCAAGTTTTGATCCTTCGTCATTAACTCCTTGTAAAGGATGTATCTAAAATTTATTTTAATAGTTACTTACCCTATGTTTATTGCATCTTATTTTTTAAATTTTGCTATTGCTTAAATGTACATAGTTTCGAAATTTTGATGATGATTGACAATTTTGATTGTTAATCAATATTTACTGCATGACGGATTGACTTTACGAATTCTATTTTTAAATAATCATAATCTAGTATACAACGTCTTGTGTCAGTCTCTTTCAAACTATATTAAAAAATATTGTTAAATAGGTAATAAGAATAAAGTTTGCACTTATCATATTACTTTATATGAAGGAAATTATGGTAAATAATCTTTTTTGCTGACTGTCTAATAATGTGAAAAACTGCTATTAAATGTCAAAAGAGTCTCGGTTGATTTCGATACTATTAGGTTTTACTTTTATTAAATAAATCTTGATCTTAAACAAATGCTTAACGTGACTCTCTGTCTTTGTTCTAAAGTTAGTGTAAAACACAACTATAAGAATTTCACTAATAGCTGTTGTATATTTAATCATGTTTAATTCCAGAGTTAACTAAATCCATATTTATATTATTTATACATTTTTTGGCAAATATTTATGAGAACTTTTTACATCGCCTGGATACTTAATCTAAGAACGGCAAGTAAAGAACGTATGAATTTCAAATATTCTTAATATTTTTTTTGAATATAAATTAGTTAAATCCCTAAAGCAATAAATTTTCTGGTGAAATAGTAATCATACTTCAAAAATTATCATAAAACCTTTAACCCTAATCTATGACAATTCCCCATATCCCTTTTTTATATGGTCAACAAAACATTCTAATTTCATTAATCTATATGCAAACCTCTTTACTTCCAAATCCGCATTATCGGCTACCAATTTTTCTTGCATATCGTAACTTTCGCTCAATTTCCGAGTTAAATCGATTTCCTTCAAGAAATACAATGATATCTTTATAATTTGTATAATATTGAAATGTAAGTAAATATCTTTACATTATATGAAATAAAATTCATTTAAAACATCCAATTATATCATTTTCACATACGGATTTGCTTCGAGTGGGGGCCTCCATTTCACTAGTGCTATTTTTTGTAAAACCCAAAAATACAGATGGCTCCTTTTTTTTCTTTTCGTGTAAAGTTAAGGAATCTGCAGCAACGGGGAAATGTTACATAATACTTGTTTATTTTATAGGAGTTCTTTCAAAGGAACAATTTGAAAGTGAAATACAATATTTTTGGTTCTTAAGTTAATGTGTAAATATAAAAAGTAAACGGTGTTATTTGGAATAGCTAATTTCTTGTAGCTTGTTTAAATTACCATATTTATTATTATTCAAAATAAAATAATGATTCATACACACCGTATATTTTATTAGGAATTTTATCCATTTGCTGACAATCTTTTAACTTTACTTGATATATTTCAGGACCAACCAGCCTTTGAATATTCCTAGTAAGACGGTCAAAGCGTTCCATTTCCCGCAAAAGTAATTCATTGCGGTCCCCCAACTCCTTTATATCGGCTTCAGTGAGATTAGTTTTCTGAAATAATAAAATTTACCACGACATATAAAAAAATATATATTAGGTTTAAAAAAAGTTTAATAACCTTTTGTATATCAAGAAGTCTTGTTCTAGAATCTTTAATTATCCTTGCACTTTTTCTTGTCTCATGATGTATGTCACGAATTTGCCTTGTCAACGGATCATTAGGGTCTAACGATGGAGAAACTATAATTTAAAAAAATGTTTTATTTGTACAATACTATAATACATTAAATCATTTTTATAATTAATTGTATACTAACATGGCCACGTTCTCTGAAATAAAAGAAAACTGTCTATTATTATAAGTTATAATAAATGTAGAAACAAATTTTGTAGGTTTATCAAATTATAAACAAATATTATAAACAAAAGCTAAGTGTTAAATTTCACCTTCGAAGCACACTGGTTATCACAAAATGTACCAGACTTCTCATGTTTATATCCTTCATATTTTTGGCTCTCTTGCACATTTTTAGAGCTCTTTTTCGAAGAATTTGAAGAATTCTGCATTACAGGACTGGAACTGTCACCTTCAGCTAAGGTTCTTTTATCAATTTGATCTATATTCCTTATCTCTTCATCGCGTTTATCAGGCTGCAAATTTTTGTTTTTACATGCTATCTTTCCATAAAAATAAATCACACAATAACCTACTCTGTCGAAGATAAATTTAGAGATTTAGAAACCTCAGAAGTGTAATATCCAATACAAATTTTATACAAAATAAACTTATCTAAATTTATAGAGCTTCACGACTAGTACAAAGGTTAAAAGTCTATAATTCCACCCACTTAACATTTATATGTATCGTTTATTTATAACTAAAACGACAAAGTATTCTCGAATGAACTATAGTAAGCAATGATGCCTTTAATTAATTTAAAATTCTATGATTGAGAGTATTTTTATAAGATATTAAATAGCACAACTTACTAAATTCGATTCCGATGCCGAAGCACCGTCTCGTGGTGATTTCCAAATACGGTCAAGGGCGATATGCTTGTCCGATTTTTTAAGAGTGGTCCAAAGCTTCGGTAATACAAGCTCTGGACTGCTTATAGTCTGATCAACTTTATGAAGATTATTTGAAGACTCATGATGACCAAATCTCGTTTTTGAATTGTCTTTAGATGCCTGAAAGTAGATTTTATTAATGTATTTCATCAAATCTCTCCTTCAATCGAGACTATCTTTTAGTAATAGTAATCTTCAAGTTTGTTTGGAAATCGGAATATTTTTATTTTAGCAATCGTTACAATATAATTTTTTGCTATTTTTATTGAAACTTTAAACTTTTAATATAATATATTATAACCTGTTTTAAAACTTAAAAAACAAAATTATTTTAAGGATTGTTGCAATGGTACGGTTTACGGTTTATTATTTTAAACGAGAACCTCAAAGTTTATATGTTTTCAAACATTTTTCAGATTTTTTTTCAGTTTTGCAATGACAAACATAACCACCCTGATTTAATAAAATTGGTTTAAAATTTCAAATTGTTTTACCGTATTATTATATGTGATAAATGTTTGCTTGAAAATATTTATTACAATACTATTATAATAAATAAAATAAATCTGTCGACTCATCCTTATTTACTTAACAAAACAAATTTATTAAATTGTGACATGAAATTTCGACCCTTATTCGGACACCAGTAAATACCGCTAAAGCAAATCCAGTTTCATCTAATATCCCTAGTTACCTTTATTACGTTCGTAACCTATATTAGTTGATTCGTACGGTGGCTGCATTTCCCCGAAAATTGATTTTAGTCTGACATAAACAGAGGAGCCTTTATCAGTGAAAACATTGATTATGTCAGTCATGTTTTGGTTGGTGATGGAAATTTCAGTACTATCTAAACTCATTTTACATATCGCTGAACATGACAGGATAAATATGAATGGACGTAAAAGAATAACAGTGTAAATGAATAATTTGAGGAAAATTTTTCAACCAGGGGCGTTAAAAATTATCGATGGTTATTATAGAATAGAAAATTTTATATCCTATAAAACATTGTTTTTATTATATAATATATTGTATGTTATGTTTATTGTTTATTGTCCGTCTAAATTCAGTTATTTCATCTATCTCGAGGGCCACAAACGATAGTATCAACATAGCCTATGATATCATGATAAAGTATATTCTAAAAATATAATACTTAAGAAAAAGAATATTTTATTATATTATTTTATTCTTCTTCTTGACTTCTCTTTCTAGGACTTACCTTCATTTTATGGTGATCAATTAACACCAAAAAGTAAAAATATTGATACAGTCAAAACGGATATAAAAAGTTGACATAAATTTGTCACACAAAAAGACATTTCGTTACTTATAAATGTACATCGGGGAACAACTAAAACCTTTTTTTATTTATAATACTTTTTTCGCATGATGATCAAATAATCACACGGTGTAAAATTAACATCCGACTTTATATTAATATAAGAATTAATGACATGTTACGGTTTTTAAGTGGATTAAGAAGTTTCTCTGTTTAATAGTTATACAAACCAATTTGTTGAATAAAATGTTTAATTACAGGTTACACTCCTATATACGACCTTTAGAAATATTTTATAGATATTTATTTACCTGTAATGTCAATAAGACACAGATGCGATAAGTATCTATCGTTGACGTAAATTATTTAATGTAGTGCTGACTAGTAAAAATAGATAATGCGGCTAATGCAATTACAGGCTTTGTGTGGTTTCCATTTCTTCACGAGCTAGTACAGTATAACCTCTGGCTGTGTTCGGGACGTTTGCAAAAATGGAACAAGGTAAGTACATTAATATACTGCAAGGTAAATGTAAGATAACTGTAATTGCTGAGCGACAAAACACTGTTTCAGATAGATTCATATATTTACATATGTAAGTGTAATTTTAACCTTACGATAGTGTTTTTGTATGGTTAAACATTAATCTGTAAATTGTTCACGTTATACATATATATAATAAAACCATTTATTCATTATGAAATACATATTTGCGTCATATAAATATATTGTAAAATATTGTGAATTGCTTTAATCATACTTCTGTTTAAAAGGACGTTTTCTTTCAAATCAATGGAATATTTTTCACTTAAGTTATACTATTTATATGAATATCAAAACAACTTTTTCAATTTTTACAGATTAAGTTTGGTTCTTTACTAATTAAATTTAACATTATTTAAACATCATTATTCGATGACTTTCCTTTCAAATATATATATAGAAGAGAGAATACAAAATATATCAGCTAAGGACGGAAATTAGAGTGCCTGAGATTCTGTAGAGTCCTTTTAGTAATGTAATTTACATCATGTCTTTGACCTTTATCTTTTCCAGAAAGGCTTATTCTTTTAAATGTGTTATTGTCTTGTATGTGGTATCGCTTTTAGACAAAAATTTTAATTTGAATACATTAAAATCTGTACCTATAATGCTTATAAATATTATATTTAATTAAATATTAAATAACTTTAATATAGAACGTATAGAGGATTTTTTAATTTATGTAGATCATCTCTCTAACTAATACTGACAACAATTTCAAATAGGTTTGGATGTTAAAATTATTGTTTTATATTTGTTAATTAATGAATTCTATTGAAATTTTACCCCAATATAATTAATAATTAATTAATATATTAACCAATATTAGTAATATAAACCTATTAACGTTTATAGAAATTTGGCATAATAACTGAATTTAAATTGTTATCTATCGTTCATAAATGAATAGAAAATATATTTAAAATTTCTGAGAGGCTGAACTTTTATCTATAATAGAATAAAAATATTTCCGGATATAAAAACCTATTTCTATATCGTCATTTATTTTTATTTCTTTATAATTATTTTAAATTTTATAAACTTTAAAAGCCATATTAGAAAGTTTTTATAATTAAATTTATACCTTTGAGTTTCATCGTTACTAAACGAAATGTAGCCGTAATAAGTAACTGATTTAAGGTATTTTCCTGTTAGGGGCTGAAATTACTTCACTCCAGCTAGCGCAATACAGGCTGCAATAAAATGTACACAACTCAACCTCTCATCAGAAATCATATTTATAATTTCACGTATTTAACTTTAAAATTCAATTTTATTATTTTCTGCTTATGCTTTGAAATTTTTATTCCATTTTAAATTCTCGCTTAGAAAATAATATTTTTCAATAGAAAACTAAATCAATGAATATATTTTTAAGTTTTTTTTTCTTATGATTTAACAGTTTTAATCATTTAAATAATTGCCACCATACATTAAATCCATTATTATAAATGACGATATTGTCAAAGAAAATTTTATGAAGTCATGTATTTATTATATAAAATATTAATCAAATTATCACGCAATTTCGGTATCTTGTTTTTATTGCAACTGTTTTTATCCAATATAATGTACGCGACCCCTGCCCGTGAACGACACTTAATTAACAGCGTGAGATGGCTTCAGTCGGATTTTCATGTTCACATATTATGTAACATTCTACTATGCTCATAGTTTGCATACTCAGAATTAGACTCAGACTATTAAAATATATTATATTTAATATCGCTATTCAAATTGTATATTAAGCTTAATAATAAAATGAGCATTCTATTTCTTAAGTTAGAAAACTAGCAACTATATACTTCGTTTCTACAACAATTTCAACGGCAACATCTTCAACGTTTATAACGCTATAAAGGAAATATGAACGCAAATTTTTCAAATTTCTCTGCAGGATGCAATCTACTAAAGTAATGGTATTCTGCCCGAGACGTATACACTCGGATATATAACGAGGTGTCTGATAATCGTTACCGAAAGAGCCCTCAAAGCTCTTAGCATTAATTTACTAAGAAGACGAAAGTTAGATAAAGATTTGGTCCAATTTAGATTATTTCATTACATGTTACTTAACTAGGTCAAACTAATATGTGGTAGCAAATCTTATCGTGCAATCGTATTTTATATATAATTTTATGTATAACAAAGATCATACATAAAAATGAGTAAAATAAGTTATCAATCCCCAGTTTTATACGAGTCCCAACCTATCAATAAATAATGTGAAATGATTATACAATTAAACTCATTATTTCTTGCTAAAATGTAGTAAATGTAATCCATATTATATTCCCCCTTATGACCGCTTTGCTTTACTCAAATTTATTTTTCTTTTAAGAGATAACTTGTTCAAATGAAATGAAACACAAAAAATATATTTTTTTATATGAAACGAATTCTTTCTTCAAAATTCTTTCTCCAAAAATGTAAAAAGATGTTTTAAACTAGTTTTATCTTGAGAAACACGGCCAGCTTATATAATTAATTTGAAACAAAAATCGACATAATTACATAAATATTTATATACTCCTCCTAAGAATAGACCTGGAGTTGGTAAGATTTATTCTTCTTCTACCTGGCAATTTTCCCAGCTATAGCCAGGGTCTGACTTTCATGTTGTGAATAGTTTTGGCTATTTGTTTTTACGACCGGCCTCCTGCCTGACATCAGCCCTCTTTAGGGAATCACCATTAATCAGTGACGTCTAAATTCTCTTAGAAAGTACATATGATTCGGAAAATCACATTGGTACTTGCCCGGGCCAGGATCGAACCCGCGCTGTCGGCGACGAGAGGCGAGCCCTTTAACCACTGAGCCACCACTGACTTGGTAAGATTTATTATAAAAATAAATTTTGGGTGAAGTTCGAATATTTCGTGCACGCATTAATTGTTATAAAAGTGACTAAAAATACAAATGATTACACTATATTATATAGTAATGGTGAAGTTGAACAATAATGCTGTAGATACAGATATTTATAGAAAAATGTTCTGAACACAACATTTTTGTCGCTGTCTGCCTGATTTTAAACAAAATGTTATCCGAATTCATGACTGTTATGATATACACATACGAATATATAAAGAAAGCATACACCCACAAAACCCGTACAATGAGAGACAATACCAATTCTCGCTTTAGTAATGGACTAGTGGTTTGATAATTGTATTTTAATTGACTATTAATACTGATGATTCGTAATGAGTTCACGTTCTGTTTATGATTTATCTGAAATCTGTTTGTGTCATTAAAATGCTATTAAATTATAATATAGAACAGCTGTGTTATTCCTCGTCTATAATAATATAAGCAATGTTATTAATTATATAAAAAACGCAATCAAAACTTTATGTGTAACGGTCAGTGAATGGTTGGCACTATCACGTCAAAACTATGAAAATTTATAAATTATTTCCCAAGTAATTAAAATTGTATACAAATAACACAAATTGAATTGAATCGATAGTTTTTCTAATTATCTCAGAATTACCTTAGGAAGGTATTAAAAACAACATCTATACATATAAACATAACAGTATATTGAATCTCTTTTTTGAAATCTTTTAATTAAAAAAATATGGAATAGATTACACTTGGTCAATAAAAAAATAATAAAAAATCGATATTTTTCTCTAAATATTTTTATATTAAATAACGGAAAGTCAAGTAAGTTTTAAGTAAAAATCCTTATCTTTGAAAAGAGATATAATCATGTAGCAAAAAAAATAACTTATAGAAATTGATCATAACAAAACTGAAACACGTTCAGAGTATTGCAAGAGACATTATAAACTAACATCTTATAGGTTGAGATATGAATAAATCTTCATACTTTTCAGCAAATAATGTAAATTAAAATCAAAATCTGCAAAAATAAGAAAATTGTATAATCGTGTAAAGCTTATTGAGTGTAATTTTTATAGCTTTTTGTTGTAATAGAACTTTTGGAGAGTATATTAACTAATTCCAAAAAGTAAAGTGCTTTAAGTGTGTTCTATTTATGAAAATCATAAAATATAAAGTAACTTTATCGTTGTTGAAAATGTAAATTTTCTACCTTGGTTATTACGCTAAAAGAAGTAAGTTAGTTAATCTGCTTCGTGACGTAAATAATTTATCACACTGTAAAACAGACATTCAGTTTAATATACATGTATAGAGATAAATCCTTGACACAGAAACACTGATATCAGAGGGTTTGACCTAGTTTTTCGCATATATTTTTTTTATGTTTTAGCCATGTCACCATCATAAAGCAATTATAAAATATAAATTTTATTATGAATAATGTATATTACCTGTGCATTATAAAATATATGACGTCCATAAATAAAGTAGTAATTTATTTTTAGATTGATCTTCTAGTTCTAAAATTCTATTTAATTGTATTATAGCAA